TTATTGTGTGTCTTATTTCAGTCATTTTGCATCTCTTTTTTAGGTCACTTTGCATTCATTGTGGTGATTTTGAGTCATATTTTTGTACATTTTGTACGTCTCTTTAGGCGTTCTGTCCCTTTGTGACCATTTTGTGTGACATTTTGGTAATTTTTCATCTCTTTGTGTTCATTTTATATCTTATGTTGGTCTTTTTGAGTCCGTCTGTGGACATTTGGTGTCTTTTTTTTGGTCCTTTTGCATCTTTTTGTTGTTGTTTGGTCACATGTTGTTTATTTTGCATCTCTTTGTGGTGATTTCGTGTCACATATTGTGGTCACTTTTTAGGCGTTTTGTATCTTTGTGACTCTTTTGTGAGACATTTTGGTCATTTTTCATCTTTTTGTGGTCATTTGGTGCATGGCATTGTTCATTTTGTGTCCCTTTGTGGTAATTCATGGTTGTTTTTTATCCCATTTTTTCCCCACTTTTGCATCTCTTTGTAACCATACCAGATTGTTTTGTGTGTGAGTCCATTGTGCATCCACTGTGTAGTCATTTGGTGCCTCGTATTGCTAATTTTGTTGCATTTCTATGTTTTTTTTTTACACTTTATATGCCATTTTAAAACCTGATTGATTGCGTTTACTTGGCCAGAGGCGCACTTCAACCTGTGCTTTAACCCTCCAGTCAGCTCTCCGACAGCCTGACGCATTCCACAACATTCTCGGTTTCCTCTCAAGCTTTAAATCTGTTCTGTACAAACTGATCTGTCCCTGATTCTCGTCTGTCTGGGTCTCACCATGTCTCTGATTGTGTGTTTCTTTTTTTTTTGTGTGTGTCACGCTTTGTAATCGAGCTGCCAAAGCTGTCTGACGGAAAACGCAACCCCGTAAACCCTCCCTCTGCTTTCGGTCACGCCGGCCGGCGCTTGTTGCAAGATAATTGCGTCCTTGTCATAAAAACCTCACCGGGAGCGATGACAGAGGAGAGATGACGGCTGCCATTTTTAAGAAGGCCTGACCTGCTCTATTTTTCCGTGGCGTCGGTTCAGACGGCGCCTTCGGCAAACTGTTTTCGGGGATAAAGTCAACAGAGCATGTTGTGTGGACACGTCTAGAGGAATCAGAGCCAAAGTCGAGGCAATTAAAGGGAGTTTAGAGGAACAGGGTGGATGTCAAACAATGTTTAGACAGGCTTAACTCAGTTTGTCCAAGGATAAACTGCTATAATGTGCAAAAAAATGGAAAAAAAAAAAAGATTATTGAGATAGATGTGCCTCAGTTGCCTCTTACAATTTTAGCTAAGACAGCTAGCTTGAACATGAATGTGCAAAAATGTTGACATAATCCTAAACTGAGCAAGAATTGCAGCAACTACAGCGAACTTAGAGGAAAAAGTGGATGTCAGGAATGTTTAGCAGCCTTAAGTCAGTTTGTCAGAGGATAAACTGCTAAACTGTGCAGAACACTGAAAACAAAACCGGCCTTAAACGCTTTTTTATGATAAGCTTTTTAGCCAAGACAGAAAGACAGTTAGCTTGAACATTGAAACTCTTGATATGATAGAAAAGCGAACAAAAGTTGAAGCAAGTAAATTAAGTTTAGAAGAAAAAGTGGATGTAAAGAATGTTTAGAGCAGTCTTAACTCAGTTTGTCAGAGGATAAACTGCTATAATGTGACAAAAAACCTGAAAAACAAAGAAGATTTTTGAGATTCAGTGTGCCTCAATCGCTTCTTGCAAGTAGCATTTTAGCTAATACAGCTAGCATGAGCATGAATGTACAAAAATGTCTCAATATAATCCAAAACTGAGCAAGAATTGCAGCAATTAAAGGGAGTTTAGAGGAAAAAAGTGGATGTCAGGAATGACAGACTTAACTCAGGTTGTCAGAGGATAAACTGCTAAGATGTGCAGAAAAAAAGATTTTCGAGATCCAGTGTGTCTCAGGTGCTTCCCACAATTAGCCTAGCAGGTAGCGTAAACATGAAAAATGAAAAAATGCCTTTTGCAACACAAACTGAGCAAAAGTTGAAGAACTTAAATGAAGGAAAAAGTAGACACAAAGAATGTTTAGAACAGCCTTATCTCAGTTTGTCAGAGGATAAACTGCTATAATGTGCAGAAAAACTGAATATTATACAAGATTTTTGTACCTCAGTTGCTTCTTAGCAGTTAGCTTAAACATGTGCTAAAGTGTCTCTTGATTTAATGCAAAACTTTATCCAGGTTTGGTGCAAAAAACTGATCAGAAAAACAATTCACACTCTGGACACAACTAGATGCTGCAAAGGTCCAAATTTTGTTCCAAGTCAGGAACTAAATAACAAAAACAACAAACATAATTAAACAAAGAAACGTCTGAAAGGCTCTCTGGTGTTTAATTTTGAGTCAGACATCGATCCTCATCTTTTATTATTACCGGATAGAAAGCTTTTTTTTTTTTTTCCTGGATGCTGCACGGCTGAAATAAATTTCTCTGAAGTAAAAATCAGAAAAAGCAAAAGAGTTTATTTTGCTCAACGCTAGAATCAAATGCAGCAGCTTGAAAACACTGAATTATCTCCGCTATCCAAAATCCAAAGCCGAATCCGTTAAATAAATCCAATTCCAAATCAATAAACAGAGAAATAGCATCGTTCTGAGAGATCACCAGCGCGAACAGAATTTCATTTGCATCTTTTCAGAGCTTCGGTGTCTCTCAGCGGAAACTGAGCAGACGCTCTAAATCCAAGTGAAAGTACTTTTTTCTCCCTTTTTTTAAAAACTCATAATCGGTTTAAAACTGAATAAATTCTGAGCCTTATGCGTGTTTGATTTATTGAAATAAGCTCCAGGAGGGATGATTTCTGGGTGTTTCTGCTGCAGCGGTTCAGAGTTCAGTCGATAAGAGGAGGAAGATGTTTGGCGACATTTTCAGATTTAAATCCATCACGAGGCGGCAACGAGATTCTGGTTCTGCAGCACGAAAACAAACACAAATTTACAGCCAGAGTCACAGCAGATGGTCACTTTGGGATTAAATCAAGAGACGCTTCAAGCACATGTTTAAGCGAACTGCTAAGCTTATTGTGAAAAGCAACCGAGGCACACTGGAGCTGGAAAATCGTCCTTTTATTTTCAATTTTTCTTCACATTTTAGTAGCTTATCCCCTAAAAAAACGGAGTTATGGCTATTTAAACATCCTTTTCATCCACCAGTTTCCTCTAAACTTTCTTTAATTGCTTCAATTCTTGCTTAGTTTTGGATTATATCAGGACATTTTTACACGTTCATGTTCATGCTAACTGTAGCTAAATTGCTAACTGTAAGAAGCTGTTGAGGCACAAATCTTGACAAAAAATGTTCTTTTGTTTTCAGTGTGTTGAGTTAAGTGTGTCTAAACATTCCTGACATCGACTTTTTCCTCTAAACTCCCTTCATTTACTTACATTTTTGCTCAATTTTGGATTACATCGAGACATTTTTGCACATTGATGTTCAAGCTAACTGTATTAGCTAAAATGCTAATTAAAAGAAGCGATGAAGGCACAATTATCTTAAGAATCTTCATTTTGTTTCCAGTTTTTCTACGCATTTTAGCAGTTAATCTGACAACAAACTAAATTAAGTCAGTATAAATATTGTTTACATCCACTTTTTTCCTCTAAACTTTCTTTAATTGCCTTGACTTTTGCTCAGTTTTGGATTATATCAAGACACATTCATGTTTATGCTAACTATATTAGCTAAAATGTCAATTGTAAGAAGCGATGGAGGCAAAACTATCTTAAAAATCTTCTTTTAATTAGAGTTTTTCTGCACATTTTAGCAGTTTATTCTTGTACAAACTGAGTTAAGGCTGTTGTAAACATCCCCGAAACCCACCTTTTTCCTCTAAACTGAATTTAATTGCCTCGACTTTCAGTTTTGCATTATACTGAGACATTTTTAATAATGTTCACGTTCAAGCTAGCTGTCCTTCTATCTAATCTATAAAGCATTTATTGTGTTTGGTGCCATTAGAACTGGTCTATTACAGAAAGTAAATGAAATGATGCTGAAGGTTGAATCTTGGACTCAGCTGGATGTTTCAACAAGACAATGACCCCAAAATACGCATCAAAAGTGGCACATAAATGGTTAACATTAAGGCTTTAGACTGGTCTCCTGACTTAAAGTCCTGACTTAAACCCATCTAGAACCTGCTGATTGTGATGAAGAAACAAGTGTGTGTCAGCAAATTTAGTTTAACGGCACCAATTCTGTCAAGAGGAGTCAAAGATGGAACCAGAAGCTTGTGGACGGAAACCAAAAGCATCCAGTTGAGATGAAACTTAACCAAATATTGCTGTGTGTACATTTGACCCAGTAGGTTCTGTAATCTTTCTAAAAGACCTTCTTCTTCATCTTTCCATTAACTTTGTGTGAAGCACTAGTTCCACTAGAACAAAAAGCCTAGGGAATAAATAAAGTTATCTGAATTGAATTGAAAACAGCCCCAGAGCATGATGCTGCCACCGCCGTGCTCGACGGTAGGTATACTATGGAAGAACCAAAACGTGTGACTGTTCTTAGTGGCAAAGCTGCATGTGTTTTATTGATCCCATTGTTGGATATTAGGTTGGATCAGTGGATAAATTCAGACCTGTTTGACAGCATGTTGTTGCCGTAGAAACACCAGCTGGGCGCCGCAATACCTCACCTGGTTGACCCATGTACAGGGGCTATCGTCCCCGATGCAGCGGTCATGGGTTCGAGTCCCATTCATGACCCTTTGCTGCAGGTCCTTCCCCCATTCTTCTCCCCCACTTTCCTCTCTCTCTCTCTCTGTTCTATCTAGGAAAGCCAAAACTATCTTTAAAAGACAGAGACACCCGCCTACCTTCTGGCTGATGCGGACCCTCAGCAGGACGTTGCTGTAGCTGTGTCCGTCGTTGACCTGCAGCACCGCGGCATCCTGCTCGGCCTCCGACCCGTCGTGAACGTACTGGATCTGTTCCCGCGACAACTCCTCCAGCTTGAAGCGGCTCAGCGCCCGGTCGCCGTGGAGACGGGTCAGCCGGCCGTGGCGCGGCGGCTCCAGAACCATGACCAGGACGTCGGCCGCATTGTCGGGGTCGTCCACCTGCAGGGTCGCCTTGGTGATGGTTGCCGAGCTGCCGCGGCCCTCCACGGGAAGGACGGCCAGGGTCACAACGCTCGGAGGCTGGAGGTGTGAAACAAAAACAGGAGGTGAGTGCCGACGGAGTCAAGTTTCACACCGAAGAAGGAAAGTTTCAGAGTTGGGGACAGCAATTTCCTCTCAAATTGTCAGATGATGTGCTGTTTCCCCGGAGGATCAGGGTTCGGCGCCGCCAAGCGAAAATGAAGCCGACGGAGGTGAAGCAGGGCGCCTCATTAAGCTGCACCGAGGCGACAGACTTCATATCAGAGATTTGAGGAGAGCAGAGAGAACATGAGGCCTCCTGATGGGAGCACAGGTTCCACTTTAAAACCCACTTCCTCTGTCTGCTCTTATATTTCTAGTTCTGTAATAAATGCTCTGATGAATGTGGATAGTTCTGAAGAAAAATGGTGAATTTTAGTGAATCTTTTCTTGTTTGACACAATAATTAGAAGTTAAACGACATATTTTTGCATTTTAACCCTTTAAACCGGAAAACTTGAAGTTGAGAATCACTGGATTTTCAGATTTCCGACAGTCCATGAACTAATCGTCTGCAGTTCATATCAGGGAAATGAACCGAATCTAAGCTTAAAACTTGACATTTCATTAAAACAACATTACTCTGTTTGCTCAAACTACTTCTGTAAAAAATGAAAAATGCAAAAAACAGCTAATTGACAATAATTCATGGACTTTTCAGACGAACTGGAGGCTGTGATGAGAAAATCAAACCTTCGTGTTCGCCTTGTCTGCCTATTTGTTTGTTAAGAAAAATGCTAAATAATTAAAGAATTATTAAACATTATTTGTCTGTTTAAAGAAAATATTACAAAACATTTTTTTAACGTATTTTGCAGATTTTTCCCATTTTTTCAATTCCAGAAAATATCTCGCAAAATTATTGATTTATTTTGTTTTATTTTTTAAAAATGTAATTACGGTCATTGAAAAAACTACAAAAAAAAAAACAAAAAAGAATCACATTACAAACCTGTATTTCTGCAAATCGTAATTTGTTCTTTTAGAATATTTGGCCACAAACTTTCTTCATTTTTGACTGTCATGTTCTAGATTTCCCCTTTTTTGTGTTAAAACTACAGATAAGTAGAGAAAAGATCTAACCGTCCGTTAGTTTTAAAATTTGCACATTTGAAAAGCACTTTTCCACATTTTTCAAGACAAATCTAAAAGGATGCATCAAAAATAAATTTTAAAAATGCAATAAAAATAATAAAAACAGCCAAAATGTCAAGAAAACAAAGCAAAACATTGCTGATGGAGCTCATTTTGATGCAGGTTCCCACTCAGAGGCTGGAGGCTGCAGGTGGAGATGCATCGACTGTTAATTTAAAGTGTTGGGAGCAGCTCAGGACGAAGCAGGGCTCAGGTCCAAATCACCGCCGCTGGCTGAGCTCCAGCTTTCTGCCATCGCAGCAGCAAACGAGGGATTCATGAAAGGAGCCGGCGCTGGAGAGGAGGACGACGAGGAACGCTGTGCACAAACACTCTGCATGTCTTCAGAGCAGAGTGACCTCCGGCTGGAACCAGAAGAACCCGGAGCGAGCTGCTATCTGCCCTTTGTGACACATGTTTTAGGACAGTTAAGGAGTTATCTGCAGCCAGACAGAAGCTCAGTCCTGCAGAACCTCAGTCCTGGAGGTTTTTGGAAACTGAACGAGCTGCTTTAAACCCCGGCTAAGACTGAACTTCCCCCCTCGAGGTGGAATCAGACGAGCAGGTGGGAGGGCGACGCTTCGTCCTCCGGACTGGGCCTGGGGGGCTCTGAGAAAGGCTTCTGAGCTGCTTCCTGGGTAGTTTCTTTGTTTGGCTCTTTGTTTTGCCTCCCGCTGTGCTGCTGCTGCTGCTGGACGCCGTTCAGACGAGTGGAAGTGCTCCTGAGCCGCTCGGTTTTCTAACGACACCTTTTATTTCCTGTTTTGTGTGTGTGCTGCCTGTGAAAGCTGATCATTTAGCCCAGTTCCATCCAGAAAAATACAAACACAGACTCCTCGGCGCTGACTGACGGCTCAGCAGAGCCAGAAAGCTTCACTTTAGATGAAATGGTGGCTGTAGAAGGTGTTTTGTATGTGTGAGGCCAGTCCTACAGAAAGCCTCTGATCCTCTGGTCCTCAGGCTGCTACAACCAGAGGCTCTGCTGCAGACGAGGTTTCAATCAACTCCTTAGTTTATCACACTTCAGCCACACAGAAAGCACAAATGATCCTCTGCTGCTCATCTACAGTCAGTCAGAGACATTTTTCAAACACAAAAATCTGTGTTTTTACAAATATGTAAAAGTGTAATATTCCATTTTTAGTTTACTGTATTTAAATGAGCAAAAACTATCATTATATTACAAATATTTAGTGTTTCAAAGACAAAGATACATAATTTATGAAATGGAAATTTAAAAAAAAAAAGTTCTGATGCTTAAATTACAGATAATAGCCACTAAAATCACAGAAAAAAGTATTAATTTACATGTTGATGGAAAAAATAATTCTTTTTTTTTTCTCAATGTCTGACCAGACATGTAATTTAACTAATTTACATATATTTGCAATTATTTGAAAAAAAAAACAAAACAAAAACAAACAAACAAACAAAAAAAAAACATGTCTTTTATAGATTGGGGGGAAAATGGTAAAAAAATAAAAATTTGACTGATATTTTAAATATTGTCCTTGTTTTCTTAAACGATAGATATTAATTTTAATTTCTTAATTACACTTTGACTTAAAAAAAAGAAAAAAAGAAAATGCCATTATTCAACATATATTTGTTGTTATTTAAAAGGAAAAATCACAATCACATTTTTTTTCTAAATCATTTTGTAATTTTTTCCAGTTTTGTAAAATTACAGAAAATACCAAATAAAATTACAGATTTGTAAAATGTATTTGCTTGTTGGAAATTTAATTGTGGTCATTGTGGAAACTATAAATAAAATCGACATTAAAAATCTTCATTTCTACAAATGTAATTTGTTCCTTTACAATATTTGGCCACAAAATTATTTTTTTTGACAATTTCTTTTGAGTTTTTTCTGTTTTGTTAAATTACAAATGGTCACTAGTAAAATTACTGAAAATTATTTTATAGATTTATTTATTTATTTATTTTTTAAGTGTGTGTCATAGTTTTGAAAAATAATTGTTAAAAAACTAAAATAATAAAATAATAATAAAATATTGTCCTTGTTTTCCGAAACCACAGATAATTAAAAAAAAAAAAAAAAAAATGTTGACTTTAAAAAAAAAAAAAAAAAAAAACAGCAAAGACCAAAACAGTAAATAACGTCCACTTCCAGATCTCTATTTTTAGAAACAATAACTTGTTCTTTTACAATGCGTGACCATAAACTGTCACTGTGTTTTGAGTGTATTTAAACAGACTACATGGTTTTAAACATGTTTTTTCTGGTGTCGTTGCTGCCAGACGTCACAGCTGTGATTTATTTCCGTGCAGGTGTTTCCAGATGTCAGCTCAGACGTACCTGAGCGTCGCTCTGCTTCTCTACATGATGTCTGTTGTGTTTTTTAAAATGAGAATAAAGCCTGAATCCACTCTGGTCCTGTCTCTGTGGCCGTGGATGGAATAAACTGAGGAAGCAACACGAGCCTCCAGTCTTTCTGAAGCGATTTATATTCTGAGGGAGCAGCAGCATAAACAAGCGGTGGACTGACGTTACATCAGTTTTCTTTGATGTGAAACAACAAGACGCTGTGTTTCTGTTGTGTTTCTGTTGTGTTTCTGTTGTGTTTCCGTTGTGTTTCCGTTGTGTTCATGTCTTTGTGGCTCCGTTTTCTCAGAGTGAAGCTGAAGAAAATGTTTGTCTGCAGGAATGAATGAAGGCTTCAGCGTCTCTGATGAATGCGACTGAACGTGTTTAGATGCATCATAAGACAGCGTTAACCTCCGACAACCTTCACATCTACTGACATCTTTGATCCTCGGGTTCAGTTTGACCACAGCAATTCATTTACACGGTGACTGAACAAAGACATCCACAATTGTACATAATGAGAAAATAATAATAATTATTATTGTTTTAGTGGATTTAAATACAGTCAAANATTATTATTGTTTTAGTGGATTTAAATACAGTCAAAAAGTAATTTTATGGTTATAAAAGAAAAAAAAATCACAATTTCTAGAAACAGATTCTTGATGTGGACACTCTACAGGTTGTTTTTACAATCAACATGTAAATGAATACTTTACTAGATATTATCTGGATTTAACAAAACTGAAAAAATCTGTAAAATAAATGTTTTAAAAAAAAGGTTGATCAGATTTTAAATATTTCTATAGATTAGGTGGAATATTGTACAATAATAAATGCGGAAAAGTACAAATTTGATGTGGACTTTTAACTTTTTTTTTCTTTCTTATAATTTTGACCATTTAAAAAAAAACAAAAAACATAACATGTAAATTAAATTTTTTGTTATTATTCCACTTATTTTTGTTTTTAGTAATTTAACAAAACAGAGACATCTGTAAAATTAACAGTAAGAAACGGTTAAAATGCTCATTTCTGACAGTGTAGATATTAGATTGTTTTGTATGTGTACAAACAAAACACATGAAGATATTATTAAAAAAATTGTTTTTATGTGGAAAGCCTTTAAAAAAAACCAGAACAATGTTCTCTGTTGGACGAACGGGCGGCAAATAATGGTTCACATTTACTGACTTTACTTGGTTCTGAGCAAGAAATGTTGTTGTTCATCAGGACAGTAGGAGCCAACAGTGACTCCAGAGTTCATCAGGTCAGGAGAGTCTTAGAGAAACAAACCTCTGGGCGTAAACTGCACAGAAAACCAGTTACTGAGATAACAGAACATGAAGGTTCTGTGGGTTCTGACGACATCTATGTTGATAAATCTGCAGATATGAAGCTCGTGTGCAGAAAACTGTTGAGCGGAAGCATCAACCAGGAGGAAGTCGGGCTTCCTCTCCTGCACAGAGGTTCTCCAACAGTTTAGTTGCATTTATGCACAGAACTGAACCAAAGTTGGACTCTGCAGGGAGAA